GAACCCTCCTTCACCACTGACTAGAGGGAACAGAAGGCGAGGTAGCCAGGCTTGGCCTTGTGTATCATCTCAGGAGTGTAACTGCTTATGTGCAAGGTTAATGTTTGATCGTGCCTGGAACATGCGAACACCATGACAGCATTTATGTCACAATTGTATGCATTTAATAAGCATCTCATTTGAATTATTAATGTACAGATCCCCCAGAAATATTTTTATGTTATAAAACCCATAATTTATCTAAGTACAAGCTGCAAGTTTGTAAATACAGCGTTAAGAAGGTAGCTATTGCATAGCTGGTTTAACAAAATATCCTTTGTGAGTAAGATACATAGGCTTATTTGGAGAGGATTTAGCTACTGGGAGGTCTTCTCCAAGTTACAGGCTTCTTAGCTGCAGCAGACAGGGAATATCATTTCTTAGTTTGTCCTTCTTGTCAGTCTGACCTGACTCTGCCATCTGATCTGAGTATCTCCTCAGCCTGTTGTTCACTGGAGGCAGATTTATAAAACATCTTTACAGGAATGAGGCTGGAAGCGATGTTTGGATTGAAAGGAGAGCTGGATTAACAACTGGTATGACCGTACACTAACTAAAGAGGAGATAGTGAAAATATATGGCCTGAGAAGACTTGGACGTGATCTTTTCCTTCGCTCGGTGCGTGGTGAGTAGGAGCAGTGACTGCCTGGCAGTGCTTTGCCTGCTGGACGGGGCGTGCAGTGACATGGGGACACTGCTGACGTACCAAAGTGCAGGCACAGAAGCCTTTTCCATTTACTGTTTCTTCTTTTATGACCAGGGTCAGGCATAACAGTTTGTCGAGGTAATGCTCTGTGAGGGCTGCTTTTTGTATGTACAGAAGTGGAAGACTTATGTTGCATCTTTGTGTGTGCACATACACACGAAAACTGCAGAAAATGTCTGTAAACTGAGAAAGGCGTGATGAACCGTGCCCTTCTCGGGAGCACTTGCTGACTGTTTGTCTGTTGCTGACTGACTCTGCAGATCAAATTTGCAAGAACAGCAATAAGGAGTATGATGGGAGTGAACTTAACCTCAAAGAAACTCAGCAGCCGACACTTTGGATGTTTGAATTATGTCTGAATCAAGCTCTTGATTAAATCTTAGCAATGTCAAAAGCTCCAAGCAGAAATTGTAACTGATGTAGCTTTTCCCCCCCCCTCATATTGCTGAATTATCTATTGCAATGTGCAGCGTATCCATGTCACTACATTGAATTTGTACGTAAAGAAGAGGGGAGATGAGGCAGTAACGCCACAGGACAAACAGTTTGTAGCCAGGCGTTACCTTCTTGGCTTCGTTCGCTATTGTTGGGTGTTTTTAAGAAGTGTTTCCAAATCTGAGTAAAACTGATTCCAGATGTGCTTCTTATTTGAAGGATATAAAGGTCACGCTAGCACCAAGACTATCTGAATTCTGTGCTGTACCTGAATAGATAACTAGTCCCATCTTAAAAACAGAAGTGCTATAAACAGTAAAAAGGCCACAGGCAAAGGTTTTAGTGCTTCATTCCCATTAACATCCTTTCTTCCCAAGTATTTTAGACTAACGTAGTTAGAGAATTCCTCTGACGCTCCAGCACACTGGATCAGAGGTGCCTGATATGACGTGGGTCGCTTGTCTGGGCTGTCAGGACTGGATCCGTCCGTGGGCCGTTCGCCGACGTACAGCAGGCTGCGGTCCTTTGTGTCTTGCTCCATTTTGAAAAGTTCATACTCTGTGTGGGGCAGCTTGATGCCCAGAGCCAGACATCCATTTGTGGGTGTTATATCCTGCTCCACCCCAGCACTCCAAGAGCTTGTCAGCCCACAGCTTCCAGGTTCTGAGGAGTTCAGCATCATCACTGTCACCTGGTCCATTGGCGTCACCCGAGCCTGTGTGACTTTAAAAGCCAGCTCTGTCCCACCTCTCACTTTGGAGGAGGGGATGCCTTGGGTGTAATGCCCAGATGCGTAGATGGTGAAAGTCGGCTGTTTGCAGAGCGGGTCGGAGTAGTGATAGTAATACCCTTCCCAGGTGTGGTTGTTGCCATGGAATATGAAATACCTGGTAAGGAAAAGCACAGCAGGTCGCACCTCGCAGTGGGTGCTCACCCAGCTGCCGCTGAGCTGCATTGGCAGCTGAGCTCTGGCTGGTAGGATGGGTGGGTGGTGTTCATCAGCTCGGTATATAATCCCACAGGCTGGGCAAGGATGCACGTGGTGCTGCAGAAGGCAAAAAAATAATGTTTTTGTAAATTGATAGGCAAAAAAACCCTCTTGGAGTATTTTAAAAGCTGAAACTCCCCTCTCCTGAACCAGGGTGTTCAATTGCAAGGAACTTGGCCCAAGATGTTCAAGCAGGTTAAGTGAGATAAAGTGCTGCCCTGGCTCTTGGCTGTTCTGGTACGTGGGGAAGGATGGAGAGGTCTGTGCCCTCGGACTGTGCTCTGCCCTGTGCCAGGGCTGCTGAGGACGGGTGCAGCGAGGAGAGGGCAAGGGCAGAGCTGCTGTAAGGGCAGGGAACGCTCCCTTGGGCTGTCCAGGTTGTTCCCCCAAGTTGGGAGGTTTCTGTTGCTGTACCACACCACACTGATCATAGAATCACAGACTGGTTTGGGTTGGAAGGGACCTTAAAGCTCATCCAGTTCCAACCCCCCTGCCATCAGCAGGGACACCTTCCACTAGACCAGGTTGCTCAAAGCCTCATCCATGATGCAGCTGATGATGGCAGCCTCTCCAGGACAGCCAACAGCAAAAGTCCTGCTTCCCCCTCAGCCCCTTCCTACCGTGGCCGTTCAGAGCCCCTGCCCACGCTCTGTGTCTGCAGCTCCATTTGCAGATCACCATTTGGGTGGCAGGTGAGGTGGGTTGGGAGGGAGGTGGGGGGTTTGCTGAGCAGCAAGAACAGGCATTGCACTGGAGAGGGAGCAGAAAAGGATCTACTGCAAAACAAGGACCTGCCGTTCTCTTCTCTGCCTGCGCTCCGAGCAGAGCTCAGTCAGTCCTGCGGCTGATCCCGTGCCAGCGGGTTTTTTTGTGGAGCTCGGAACCTCTTTTTCTTACACTTCATATATCACAACTGATTTATTTTTCAATAACCAGGGTTTGACCATTCTATCATTTTCTAGAACAAGAGCTAATCTTTACTGAACTGTCATAGGCAACAAGGTTAAATAACTCGGTAGTTAACTGTAGGGTGGGTAATTTACATGCAAGTTGATTGGAGTCTACTGTAATTTAGTCATTTTCAGCTTGCTTTACTGCTACTGTCAAGTTAATGAGTGCTGACAGTACACAGTACATTATAGCAAAATAATCCCAGAAGTTGGCAAATATATATGTTCTCCTTAGACAGGAAATTCTTTGATAATGAAAGGTAATTTGGGGAGAATGGGTTTCTTTAAAACAGATATAAATTTAAGTGAAAAAGAGTGATATTTTCATAAAGAGGGTTAAAAAGTAATTCCTAACATAGCTGTGTAACCCTCACAAGCACAGGCAAAAGCATGTTAGTTTGGGGTGGAGGGGAAGGGGGGACAAAAAAGGAAAAGACCTGTGCCCAATAAAATTATCACTATAGACATGGAGCCAAAACTCTTGTTTGCTCAAACCAGTCGTGTGAAGTTATTTTTAATGTATGGCAGCTTCTAATTATCGCCAAGTGGTGACATCATGGGCTGGTTCATTGGAGAGCTGTTAGCTGATTAATTACAGTGCTATATTCAGAGGGTGAATTTCAGTATCTTCAGGTTTGGTTTTAAATTAACTTTTAAAAGTGTTTATGTTTACCATCTGGTTTTGCTCATATATATGGTTTTGGCCCGAGATAACACAAGTTTAACCAACTTGAGAATGTTACTTTCAAGGGGGAGAAGGGTGTTGCTCTGTGTTTTTCAGAGTTCAGTTGGTGTAGTTTGGGGTGTGGGGAAATGGTGTCCCCAACATAATTTTTTTTCAATTAATTTAATTCTATCTGATAAAGTTCAGGGAGGTTTTTTTCACCCCATCTCACTGCTCAATCATTTCTGAATTGATTAGCTATGATTCAGATAGAAATGTGATTTCCTGGAAATAAGCTAACCTGCTGCAAAGTGAAATAAAATAAAATAGAACTAAGTATCCTGCTCAGTTCTATTTATGTCAAAGTGAAAGTTTGATTTCTGTATAATAACATAATTGTATTCAGAGCAACTTCCTCGTCTAATGGCATTACACTGAGGAGTAATGATCTAATGGCAGATACTGCTTCCTTGCTGCTCTCTCAACCTGGAGGACATGACAAAGAGTGAAAGAGAGGGGAGGAAGACAAATGACAAGAGCAGGCAGCCTCTAATGATGTGCAGCCTGAAGCTTCCACTGGCTTTGGTGCAGGAAACTGCATTTCCTAGGAAAACACAGAGCCAAAGAAAAGCCATTAACTGCAGGCTCATGCCAGTGCAGGATCGTTTCATAGAATCCTAGAATGGTTTGGGTTGGAAGGGACCTTAAAGATCATCCAGTTCCAACCCCCTGATGTTGGTTTTGCTGAACTTTGGTTTCTGATGTTGGTTTTATTGAATTTTCACCCACCCCAGTCCCACACTCTGGGTAAGAGATACAGTGATCCCCATGTGCTGTGGAGCACCCAGGCAGCACCCTGGGAACCCGCAGCCCAGCACCTCCTCACCCACGTGTCCTCAGGACAGAAGGGGGCTGAGCACAGGCAGGCGGGTGGTAGCAGTGAGGTAATAACAGATGCTTGGCAAAGCCCATGAACTGATGAGGGGACTGGGGGAAGGCACCGTCCTTACCACAGCGCTCTGCATAGGTCGCTGATACCCAGTCGGTCGGTAGTGGAGCCTCTCAGCCCACTCTGTGTGAATGTCCCCCAGGTAGAGCTCCTCCACCAGCTGGCTCCCGCTCTGCTGCGGCTGCAGCAAGGGCTGGTAATGCTTCTCCACCCGCACCAGGCTCAGCTCGTGCATGGCAAAGCCCAAGGCTGCTGTGCAGTCACGCTCCGTCTTGGCGCTCAGCAGTTCGTAGAGGGCTCCGGGAGCCCAGGTTCGCCCCGGGGGCAGGAACCCGCTGCAGCCCTCGCCCGAGGTCTGGTTGATCCAGGTGGCCACTTCCCGCATGGCTTTCTGGCTATGGAAAACGATGCCGACTTTGTGGAGG